CAAACAGCAAGGAGCAGCCACCAACGTGAGCGCGCACTTCACGCAGACAAAGCACAGCAGCAAACACACACACGGAGAAGGGGAAAACAACGGACAGAAAGAAAAGGCCGCCCTTGCGACGGTAAAACGCACCGTCACAGCAACGGATCCAGCACTGCAAACGCACGCTCACCCAGCAAGCCGCCGCGACGCCGCACAGACGGTAGGAAGCCACCAACGATGTAACTCGCAAGGTTCAGCGTGCGCTCCACCACTGTTCGTCGTCGCAAAACGCGCTCCTCCAACAGCAAACGCCGCACACCAGACATCCATCGCCCGCACAGGGGATGCCGCACAAAGCAGAGAGTCCCCCATTCATCTGCCACAGCTGCGTACTCACGCGAAGAAGTGGCTCCACCACCGCCACCAAAGCCTGTAGGAAACCATGCAGCACTGACGTCCACTCCATCGAAGCGTTCTTCGCATCACCAGATGGAGGATCCCCGTCACTGATCCGCGCCTCCCATCGCACAGAACCCTATACGGCCTGCCAACGCCGAAGCAGCGCAGTTTTTTGTTCGAATTCATTAATTTCACCGTAGTGGAGCAGATACATTTTCTGTTCTAGGCTTATTGTTCAATTCTGTGGCGCCCCTTATTTGGTGCTGCACCGCTTTTACTTCGGTTGGTGCATCTGTCTCTCTGAGGTACATGTATCGTAGGTTGGATTACTGTAATTTGTTGTGGTTCTACTTTTCAAGATGGTTTCTCTTAACATTGGTAGTACTCTCGGAGAGTCACGCTAGGCTTTTTCCGCTGATGGACTCAATGCGCCGACAGATTTCCTGAAGTGACTGATACGCATGCCATGTGGTGCTGATCTTCGTTGCCAGCGATGCTGCTTCACCTTGTAGTGTCTGCAGCGTGGAGGAGAGATCCAACCCATAAACTCTGTGAGCACCGCATTGAATGACAATGTAAGGTTGGAGGTTTTCGCGCCACCCCTCACATGTGTGGCCAACCCAAGGGCACGACAGGATTCAACAGTGTCGTTTGAATCCTCTAGCGCTATCACAGGTCGTACAGTTGTCATTTCACCTGTAATTCAATTCGAGTAAAAAGTGCGACCTGCTGAGGCGGACACGAGCGCCACCTACTTCTCGTGAAATGCTCTCGCGAAATGCCGTCTCCCATCGCACTTAAAACGACAAGGCTTCGTCTTTCTCTTCGGGGGTGACACAAAGCGTGTCATGTGGCGTGTTGCAGAGATGTCCAAGCGAGGTACATGGATGTATGGGTGTATTCGCATGTGCGCACTTAGCATTGCCCAACGAAACGGGATGAGCATGCTCCAGCAGCAGCAGCGTGGCTGCCTGCACCGTACACGTTATCTCCTGCACGCTTACTGGAGAGATGCCACACTCACGCATGCTCCCGCTGAACCTCTGTCACAACGGACAGCTCCATTTGCGTGACCACAAAAAAGAGTGACAATCGCCAAATGTGGGCAAAAAACGGCCACCAAATCTCCTAGAGATGCGAACAACACAAGGGGCACGCTAGGGAACAAAACAGCAGGAAGACATTCACACCAGTAACGAGCGTCTGCGATGTCGAGGTCATAAGCTAAAACGGGATGCGCAAAAACTTCGTCGCTGGTTCTACCGATCCCTCCTCGTGCAAATCCTTGCGGAAGCGCTTCAGTATCTGATTCTGCTCGTCTCCCCCGGACTGCAGTATGCCTGCACTACGCCATTGTGCACGCAGACGCTTCAGCAACGCCTCCGTCAAGGCAAGCGTGTCCCCGACCATCGCATATGCAATCTGACGATGGCGTCCAGGCATTCGTGTGGCAACGCAGACGCGCAGCAGGTGGGAGAGAAAAAAGCAGAGGAATACCGGGTCCGCATACGCCTCCACGCCACTGTTGCGAAAGGAGAAACAGAAAATAAAGAAGAGTGATACAAAGTTGTTGTTGTTGTTGCTTTTTTTTTTTTTTAAGGGGGAGGTAGGAGGACCGTCCACACAAAGAACAGATGCATACAAGGGGAAGAAGGTATGATGCAGAGGGGCGCATGCGTCGAAGCAGTTAAGAAGTAAAAATAAACACAAAAAGTATCCACCAAGTCCTGTAGTATGACGGTCTCATAGTATACCTTTCACTGTCAATGTCGCAATGCGACAGCAACGCCCCCCCCCCCCCCCCCCCCTTTTTTTTTTTTTGTAATGCTTCTGTTGTTGTCAATATGTTTGAATACTCCCTTTATACGTATGCATGTATACTTTTCTTTTCGCTTCCATTTTGTCGCATTTCTATGGGTATTGCCTTTCCTGTTTGCTTTCACCCCCAATGAGAAGGAGAGAGAGGGGCAGGCATTTAGTAGAGTCTAGCCCTGCTGGATGGATTAAAAAAAGGGAGAGTTCTGCTAGACTCAATCCTCCGCCAGCGGTGCGATTAGTTTGCCATCTCGGTGAGTCAGAGTCCCATTGCAGGACTCAAGCGAAGGGTGGCCCCTCTTGATACTGCTGCGAATCCTCCCCGCGCAAGTAGATGCCTTGCAGCGGCACGTAAAAGGTGGCATCATATCATCCATGAAAAGGCTACAGTCCATCGTGAGCTCCTCCCCCTTCGCAATGTTGCGAAGAGCATAAACATTAAGCGAACGATTCGGACAAAACCCCACATTTGGATCACAGGAGTGGGTAACTGCACGCCAGTCCGACGAACGCAGATCCCACAGCGCATAGTAATGACCCTCAGACCCAACAGGCCAGGCATCATCCAGAAACTCATTGTACTCCACCTCACCCCAATTGGCTTTCACGTAGGGTTTAGTGCACAGCCGCACCAAGTGTCCTTCCCCCTCAAAAACAATACTGTTCACTGGTATATCCCTTGTGGCGCAAAGGTAATATGCCCGCACCGGATCGTAGACACAGCGAAATGGCAGCTGCCTGCACGCATGCATTTGAATGGCCTCACGGATCTGCAGCTTGGCAAACTCCTTTTGCTTAAAGTCTGGCATAAGCCGCAGAATCCAATCTGCCGAGCCTTCCTGCCCGTAGGGATACATAACACCGCAATTAGGGTTGATTTCAAGAAATACAGCAGTGTTTGTTGCACGATTAATGCGAATATCCACACGGCCGTATCCCACGCCCCCCATCATATGCAAAAATGACGTTTTCGCTATGCAAATCATATCTGGCAACGCGGGGTCATCCTCTGAGACAAAGCGCCAGTTCATCCCTTCATACGTTTCCCACTTGAGCTGGAAGTGCTTAAAGTCCTCCCCCGCCGGGAACTGTACCATAACTGGTGGAAAGATACGAATGCCCCCAGGTTGTGTGGCATCGGCACACACCAATACGGTCACCTCGTCACCTGGAATAAACTCCTCTACAAGGGCAATCTGGTACTGCTCAATGAAGCGCGTCACCCGTTCTTCCAATGCATCCATCGTATGCACCTTGCAAGACTTGTCCATGCCCACGCTGCTGTAGCCGGAGATGTGCTTAACAATCAACGGAAAGCGTAGCGCAGCGCACAACTTCCGCACGTCGTCACCGGACTCCAGCACGGCGTATGGGGCCGTGTTGATGGCGCAGTAGTGGGCCATCCGCTTCATCTCGGGTTTAGACAACTCATAGTACTTGGAAATGGCCCCAGTAAATGGAACGTTGAAGCTCTCAAGTGCCTGCACCACATCCACGCCGGCTTTGTCCTCGTCAATGGCGCCATCACACTGGTTGTAAAAGACATCGAAGGCCCTAGACTTCACTAACTGGCGTATTTGACGGTAGGCAGTCGACTTCTTAATAAACTCGAGAGTAAAAACAACATCCTTCGAATCCGCCTCCGTGAAGTAGTGCTGCGGTGTCTGCACGAGTTCCCCCTCGTGCTCCTTCAGTTCACTGTCTGAACCTTCGTAGGAGCAGACAAGTACACAGACACGAATGGGCAACGAAGACATTATTCTCCACTGTTTCTCTCTTTCGCCCACACCTGCCCACAGGCTCCACCAGTTGCGTCACGTATAATTGCTGGAATCGTGATATATATATATATATATATATATATATATGGATATGGATATGGATATATGTCTATGCACGGGTGTAGGGAGGTGTGTGTGTTATCGTGCTCGCAAAGAAAAGGGCGTGCCCGCGGTCCCCTCACTAAAGGCTACAATTAAAAATACAATCAACAAAAAAAAACAGTAAAAAAATGTTCTTGTTGTTGTTTTCCTACAAGAGAGCCACCCCACTCCCCTTCTCCCACCAGTGGACCACAAGAGAAATGAAAACGCACAAAGAAGCAGAGGGAGGGAAATGCACATTGATCCTTCTTGTTCCAGTTCCTGCTAAGTGCGTTTTACTTTTTCGTTGCACGAAGCAACAACAGCGTTCGTGTCGTCAGCGTGATGCATCTGCCCCGCCTCGGATGATGAAGTGCCGCCTTCGACAGGCACAGCTTTACGTGTGAACACCACCTCGCCCGCACACATGGGCAGCACTACGTTGCGCAGCAACCATGCCGCCATCAGTACGAAAACGGCAATCGGGATGACGTACTCGCGCAGCAGAAACACCACCGTCATCTCGCCTGGAATGCGTCCGGGAGTCATTGCAGTCACACCAACCCCCTCACACACACGGACGCTACAAACCCCGCGGCACCGCCCAACAGACTAATAATATAAATACACGCAATCGACGTGTATATATATCGATGGTTCACGATGTGTGTGCGTGGAAATGCATGTAAATACACCAAGGCCGTAGGAGCCTACGGAGTTAAGTACACTCAGACGGCGTCACTAGTAAAAAAGTGACAAGCACAGAAAGATAAAAAGAAAAAAGAAAAAAAGATAGAGAGAAGTAGTAGGGGGAGGGGCGGAGAGTGGTTTGCACAGTCTCAGGGTAAAGGAGGAGAGCCCAAGCAAACACACCAGCAAACCAAAGGAACATAAAAAAAAAAAGACACACATGCGTTTTCACCACAACAAGAACAAAGATATATATAAAAAAAAAAAAAGATAAAAAAGGCATTTATGAGCTGCCATGCAAAAACAAAAACAAAACAAAAAACGTAATTCAATCACAACTAATAATTAAACCTACACCTAATATGACCCACCATAGCACAGGCATACACACATACATGCAGAGAGAGAGAGAGAGAGTCGCTTACGTACACACATACTCATGTATTCAACAAAAAAACAAAGTTCATCTGTCACAGAAACACTTGCATCTCAGTATTACCACGTTCACCTCGTTTTGCTACGTAATACCCCCACAAGGGAAGAAAATTGATGCCTCAGCGACACATGTATGTTTTTATGTGTGCATGCCTGCGCTGTGCCTTGCCGTTACTTATCCTCCCTTTCATGTTGCTTCTCACTCCTCATCAATGATGACGAAGAATTGGGTGTGACAAGGCTTCACTGCCTTTGGTTTCAAATGAACCTCGCGGAGTTTGGGGTTCTTCTCCAACGCATCATGAGTACTTTTGATCACCCACGCCCGCAGAGGCATGCCGTCCTCCTCTGGCGTGTCGTTCACCTTGTCCAGCTGGTTAAGGAGAAAGTCGTCTTTGGCGCACCCTTCAGCAGTAATGCGCTTCAACGGAAAATGGACCTCAACCTCAGCAGACGGCATGCTTCTTTGCTGGTTTGTTTGTTTGTTTGTTTTTTTGCTTGTTTGTATGTTTGTTTTTATCCTCCTCTCTTTTTTTTGCCTTTTATATTTTCCCCACCTGTTTCGACAGCACTGAAATGCTGTGTATGCGTGGTGAATCACAAAGAACACAGATGAATCTCTGCCTCGAAAGCAGGAAAGTAACAGAAAAACGACAAGAACAGCAAGACAGAGAAAATAATAATAATAATAATAATAATAATAATGGCGTACAAGGCGGGGAACGACGCAGGAAGTTAGCTTCTTGTCATGATAGACGGTCGCAGCCACGCAGCGGAAGGCTGACAGCACCGCACATAAACCATGCAGCCACAACAACAAACGGTAAAGCGGAAAGCGGAAAAAAAAAGTGAAGTGAATTCAACGGTGCTTAAACGTTTTAAGAACGGCGTCCGTCGCACAAACAAACAAACAAACAAAAATTTATTATTATTTCTTTTTTTTTTTTTAAGGCGGGGAAGGGGGGGGGGTCGGCTTACGAGGCTCAAGAAACCTCCTGAAGACGCGGGAGAAAAGCATCGATGCCTCTCCATGCTGCGCTACCACGCCACAACATCAAAGCCGCCGTGGACATTATTTCGTCTTCGGCGGTCACTGCGCTGTGAAAGCGTCGCATGCCTCAGTGTTGCATGCCCAACTAGAAGCGCGTTCTCCACGTGCACCTCCGTAAGCGACAATGCCGTGGCTACGCGTGCAACGAGGCGGTGCTCAATTAACTCTGCCGAGGCCTGAGAAAAATGACGCATGGCCTCAACCGCATGCGACTTCCGCTGAGCGCTCGTTGTGGCACTCAACGCCTGCATCAAGAGCAACTCGGCGTACAAGTGATGTGGAAACGTATCATCTGGTCTAAACACAGCCCTTGTTACGGCTAGGGCCCGCTGTGTCAAAGTCACCGCTGCGTCGCGGTCTGCCTCTTGTGTATCCTCGTCCACTAGAAAGAACTCGTCGACTTCCTTCATCGCCATGCAGGATCGAACAAGCGCCTCCACCAGCATTATCTTCGCCTGGCGCAAGGGAATTGGTAGATACGGCACTTGCTCAGGTTTTCGTCGATCGACAGCCGCGTCGTAGATTGCAATAGCCTCCCTCCAGTTGGAGGTCACCTGCAGCGCGTAGATGGCGGTGTCATCCAGCCATTCCACCTCCGCCGAGGAGCCGCCAAACACATCCACCAGATGCTGCCGTAGCTGCAAAAGCAAACGCTTGCCGTCCGGCTCCTCCATCACAGATATCAAATGACAGCATCGAAACACTGTTTGTAACTCCGTTTTCCGTGCCTGTGGCTGCTGCGGCCATGGGTTCGCATCGTACATATCGAGTAACTTGGCGGCCAACACCCATCGCTGCTCGGTGGTCTTCACGTACCTGCTTGAGAGTAGCTGCAATACAGCCACTGTGGCTTGACGCTCCAGGCCTTTCCCGTCGGTCACCAACTCCTCAACAAGCTGACCCACGATGGGTGAGGTACGAACGACATGACGAAGTGACTGAAGAAGAATTGAAAGTACCTCGGAGTGGAGTGAGCGCAGAGTGTACGTCTCCCTGAAGATAGTCCATAGAGCCTCACCATGGGCTGCGTGACCAGCCGTGTGGCACGCCGCCATGGCAAAGGCATACGTCTCCGCGGTGGGTACCAAAAAGCGAAATGAAAGATCCATATTGGAGGTGTCCATGTTTCCAAGAAATGACACCGCCACTGACCAGCGGCCTGAGGCAGCAAAAGCCTTGACAACACTCTCCGCATATGCACAGCCCTCGTCGCCGGTAAGAAGCAGTCGGGGTGTCTCCTGTACACGTTGAGTAATCGCAAGTGCATTTTCCCACACCCATTGCTGATGGGAGGAGCTAAGTGGACTGTGCACGCGATGAAAGGTGTCCGCGCTTCGCCATAGTGCGTCTAGTGCGTGTGTATGCGTTGTCAATGTGGTGTCGTAGCCAGACACAAGAGCCTGCTGATACAATGCAAGTGCCCGTATCCAGGGACGAGAGCCGCCAATTCCACTCTTGTAGCCTGTCATAAGCCCCATAAGACGATCCGTCATTTCCATAGGTGGTGGAGCATACTTTTGTAATTCTCCAGCAAAGTTATACAAGTGTAGCGCCGTCGACCAGGTAACATCGAGGTGCATGAGATCCGCTAGTGAGGAGGCCGACACTGGTGCACCACACTTCCGCATTTGGTATTCAAGTTTCGCCACAACCTCATTGTCCGTGCCTTCTTGTGAGAAGCCTAAGAGTTTGTTGTATGCGGAGCCACGTTCTGCCCACCGTTCCGTTGTTCGGCATGTGTAGTTCACAAAAGTGGAACGCTCCTCCTCTGAGAGACGCCTCCACCGATCGCCCTCATGTCCCACCGCATCAGTCAAGGCCTTCTCAAACGCGGCGTGGCCCACTCGATCCTCCACATGGTGCTGCAACAGTGTGGCAGAGAGTGTTTTGAACGTAGCCGCCGTGGGTGCATCCCCATCCGCCTGAAGAAGCACCTGGAAGGCTTTTAGCGCCTCAGCCTTTCCAGTAGACTGCTGAATGGCGTGTTTTACTTGCCGTGTGAGGGGAGTCTCGGGAGCGCCACGGGCCAGTGCGTGGCGCAGCGAGTAGTTTGCATGAATGATTCTATCCTCAGCGCCCTTCACACCTGCGGAGGGGTGTGTCGTTGTGGCGGTGGCGGGGTGGGAGGTGTCACTGCCCACGGTGTTGCCCGGGGAGGCGCCACAAGCAGGAGCGACGCTCCCGTCTCCTCCCCCAGCCGCTTTTGTTGCTGTGCTTTCAGACAGTGAGACATCCCCGTCCTTTGAAGGGCGTCGCAGTGACGACACCTGCGCCTGGCGGCGAAGTGCATGACTCAGTTTATCGAGGGGTCGCTTGCTCATAACACATGACCCGCTAATGTTGAGTTCGTTGGCACGAAACAATTAAGAAACAAAAAAAAAATAATAATAAAGCGAGAGAAATCCAATAAATTCAGTCAAAGACGCACTCCCACACACGCATGTGGAGAAAAAAACCGTCACCCCCTCCCCCCCAAAAAAAAAAAAAAAAAGAAAGACAACCTACTATGCAGACGCACACACACACACACACACACACACACAGAGAGAGACGGATTAAAAACGTGTAGGCTCCGGGCACAACAGGGAGTAGGCAGAATGAGCATCACTGCGCATCTCCATCCCACCTACACCGGTTACTTATCCACCCTCAAAAGCAGCAATAAGATCCTGCGTACTGGTACAGCGAAAGCTCCCCTACCCAATCGTAAAAGTAACATCGGAAAGGAGGTAGAGAACCACAAAAGAAAAAAGAAATTCCAAGCATACACAAAGGCATAACGACAACAAAGAAATGCAGACACATACCCAAATACATGTTTGTGATTATTTCACTGAGGTTTCCAGCTTCAACTGAAACGTAAGGACACGCTTAAAATAAATAATGAAAAAAAAAAGAAAAAAGAAAAAAAATCTACATTTTTGTAAATATAAATGGAAGAATATAACATCACAACCACACATATGTTAGAAAGATACATTCTTTTTGTCTCTCTTTTTTCCTCTCTATTCCTATTTTGCTTCTGTTAATTCTTCCTTCTCTGCATCGGTTCCTTTACCCAGAAGGCGGAACTCACGCATTGCTTCGGTCATATAGCCTATTTTTTCCCGCATTTTTGTCATGCGCTCCTCAAATGTCAACACTGGAACCAGCGGGTCACTCTCATTGCTGGTACCTATAATTTTGCTCCAAAGCTCACACATCTTAGTCACCATAAAGGGGAAGGACCAGGTGAAGGCATTGATAAAGTTTGGAAGATAGTATGGATGTGAACTGCTGTTGTATTGACGTATTTTCATAACATCCCCATTTAAATAAATAAACGCTGCACGGTTATTATACGTATCACAGTAGTTTGGCGCAGAAAAGACGCATACGGTAGCTGGCACACCCATTGAAGTATTGGCATAAAGATGGTAGCCCTCCGTTTGGGCCTCATGGCCTCGAATCAAGCCTAACAAACCATTTCCTTCAAGAAACTGACAGACCGCCTCGTGAGAGTAGGAGTAAGAACAGCCACGGACTATGTTGGGGCTAAACAGAGGGCCCGATGGCGTCGCCTCCTCCGTGTGCTCTGGAATTGGATCGGACCAGAGAAGATCACACATTGGCCCTGACGACGGCGGTTCCCGAAAGCGGTGAATGAGGTCAATATCTTCCAAGTGCCGGATCTCCGGTGACAGCCCTCCGTGTACGCAGAAAAAGCTGCTGTTAAGCAGACACGCCAGGGGAAGACAATCAAACGCCGACATGATTTCTTCGTAAAGTTCAAGTGAATATTTGTACTCAACCTCTCGTTTAAAGTTAAAATATGACGTCAAGTGTCTTGACTCATGGTTTCCGCGGATGAGGAAAAAGTGCCCGGGGTGACAGATTTTATACGCCATGAAGAGGAGTACAATCTCAACACCGAAGCTGCCGCGGTCCACGTAGTCGCCAAGGAAAATGTACTGCTGCTCCCCGGGCTCACCTCCCAGCTCAAACAACTTCAAAAGATCAAAGAACTGGCCGTGAAGATCACCACATATCACAGCAGATCCCTGCACCCGCAACAGCGTCGACTCACGCTTTATAATGGATGCGCAGCGGGTGACAAGCTCCAGCGCATCCTCCTCCAAAAGTAGTCCTTCACGGGCAAAGTGTGCCTTAATATTACTGGGCAAAGGAACACCATACGAGTCAAAAGCTAGCTCGTGAGGCAGCGCCTCCCATAGTGGCGGCTCCACATGTAGCAGACTGCGATCTGTGCGCAGCATCCTCTCGATAGAGCCCATCGTTTTCACCGCGTAGTTCTCAATGCTGGCATCCGTCACCGGCATGGCTGTCGTGATCGGAGAAGGATCCCTAGACTTCGCCATGTTGTAGCCTGTTGCCGCTTGGCAGAGATAGCTACAGGCGGTTGTCGCAACTAGCCACAGAAAACAAACAAACAAACTTTAAACCGTCAGGAAATCGCAAAAAAAAAAAGAGAAGTGATACTCCAATTGACCTTCACTACTACTTTCACCTCGTGCTCACACTGACGTCAGCGCGCTCCCCTTAGTTCGACCCCCAAGAACCCACCCCCCACCCTGTGCATATGCCAACACCCTCGCGTAGATCAGTACCTCTTTGTTAATGCGCCCCTTGCAACTGACAGGCTCCCCCTGCTTGCCCTGCTTTGGCCTCCTGTCTCCTCTTCTCCCACCGCCAGAAGCAAAACAAGACAAAAAAAGGCAGCCGCAACAACAACAACAACAGTCAACAAAAAAAAAAAAAGTGTGGACGCCGACATACGGCACTGTAGGCACAGTCCTACATTTTTTCACTCCAAGGTGTAATACATCATTCTCCTTTTTATTTTTGACCACGCTGTAAATACCTCATGCCATTTTCTTCTTTTATTTCTCTCTCTGTGTATAGTGGGAGAGAATGGCAGGAAATATGTGTGGCTACATGTTGTTCTTTCTCCATTACTCCCCCCCACCCCCCACCCACCCCACCCCTTTCTCCTCCATCGTACTTGCTGTGATCACCTTAACCCCTTTTCCTACCTCTCCTCGAATGAGAAAGGTAAATAACTCATAAAGAAGTTCTATTCATCCTCGGAGTCGCTGTCGTCGCCACGACGGCGCTTCTTTGCTTTCTTCGCTGGCTTCGAGGCTGGTTTGCGGGTGCTCGACTTCTTCGCCACGGCTGTATTTTTGTGTGTCGGTTTCTGCGTTATCACCGCCGTCGACATCGCCGTTGAAGCTGCGTTGTCTGTGCCCTTATTTTTCAGGCACACCTCAACGTGTTGCCGGTGCCGCACGGAGACGGCGCGCTTGCAAAGCGGGCACGTTTCATTCACAATACACTCCCCAACAAGGGCATCAAACTCTTCCGATGCGTTGTTGTCGGTTGTTCGTCGCCTTGCCGCACGTTCCTCGCGTTCACGGGCCTTTTCCCGCTCTGTCCGCTCGCGCCACTCGTCAAACTTCACTTGGTCGATAAGGTGTTGATTCACAGGGTAGTATGGAAATCCGAACGTCTTGCGGCAGCCGTCGCACTGTATAACGGTGTCGTACATGCTGGCGTCATAGTCGAAGCTACGATGGCAGTGCGGGCACGCGTGCAAGGCCGTGGCGCAGCCGAAACGACAAAGGCACGTTTCACAGTGTACTTTTTTACCTGCAGGCCCCATGAAGAGTGAATAGTGTTGCTTGTAGTCGGGCGTCCAGGGGGTGCGGCACTGCGGGCAGCTGACCGTGGTATCACGGTAAATGCCGCCGGTACGTCGAGTTCCGAGAAGGGCGCGGCTCGTAGACACACTCGGCTCCTTGTCCGCAAACGCGAGATCCATGTCTTCTTCGTCGAGGTCAACACTCGCGTCCTCGTCGTCGTCCTCATCTTCGTCCTCGTCCTCGTCGTAGTCAATAAAGTCATCATCGTCTTCCGGGGCATGTTTTCGTTTCGTTGGCTGTTTTTTCTTAGGTGCTGCTCGATTTGGCTTCGTCTTGGAACTATCGGCAAACTGCTGCACCGTAGCCGTTGCCTTCGGTCCGGTTATCTGCTTCGCCGACTCTGTAAGCTGCTTCGCTTTCAGCTGCGGTGGCGTCTGTGCTTTTTTATCGGCCTTCTTCTTGGCCTCCTTTGCCTGAAGGGAGAGAAGCTGCTTGCGGTACTTTGGGTCCACCACCAGCTCGAAGGCGCGCACCAGCTTCTGGAACACCTCCGTCGAGCGCTGGAAGCGGCCCTGCAGCTTGTCAGGGTGCACCAGCCCGGCAAGACGCATGTAGTTTCGCCGCGCCTCCGCAACGGGCGTCTCCGCGGAGACCGGTGGCAGACCAGGCGCAAGCGACAGCACCTGCAGCACATCCCTCTCGCCGCAGTCCAGAATAGACTGCGCCAGAGCCACCACGTCCATCACTCACGTCGTCCCTCTTCACCTCGTGCTTTGGCACAATCCACCCTACAATGCCGTTTGTTTGCATCCACAGGAAGAAAAGCAGAAGAAGGCAAGACACAATAACGGACTGGGACGGAGCTACAAAAAGTGAGGAAGGTGCAAACAAAAGCAACGCAGACGCGTTGGAGGGGCAGGCACAGGCATGGACGCGTGCCGCAAACCACGCCCGTTGACGCAGGCATGACACATTAAAGAATAAGACAGGGGGTCAATGTAAATTTTTCAGGGGAAACAAGCAAACGTTCAATAAAGGAGTCAAGAGTAGATAATTACTAGGTCAAAGGAATAAACATGATTACAATAAGCATCGTAAAAAGGGGCAAGGGGAAGGCATTACTTTGGTTTGGCACGTTGCCATCCTCGTTCACCTCGCTCCTCCTCCCGTGGCATCCCCAACACACACACGCGCGCACACACAAAATCACATTGTAAGCCAGAGCGCCGCCCCAAGTGCGCCTCCAGTACACCAATCACACTGGCTTCGTAGCGCAAGTGGTCGAGCGTCCAGAAAACCACGCACTCCCCCACCCTTTCTCCAGTGCTGGGCAAAGCAATTCTGCTGCTGTTACAATAAATTTGTAGTGCATCTAAAAACAAGTATTTCTTCACGGTTGTTGTTGTTCTTGTTTTTGTTGCTGCACCCGTGTGTGTGCGTGTGTGGGTTGGTATGGTTGTGCGTCCATCCCGCATGCAACGGAATAGAAGAAAAACAAAGGCACGCAAAGAACGGTGATCGTAGATACGGAGATGCGTAGGCGAAGAGAAAAGCAATCCTCTCCTCCTCCCCTCACCCCATCCCACAGATATATATATATATATATATAAAGGTTCAACTGCCACGGTATCAGGCGGCGTGCGCTTCTTCCCGCAGGCATTGATGCGTGGAAGCGGGATATGACGTGGAGCACGGCAGGACGCATGTATGCGACCACCGACGCGTCGTCCCAAACACGCAAAGCCGCACCTCAAGCATACTTTTCTCTTATCAGTGACTGGCGTACATTATTGTTGGTCGCTGCGCTGCAGTCCATCCTACACCTCAAGGGTGGGGCGGAGCCAAAGCGTCCGTTGTGTGTACTATTTCCTGGCACACCCTCCCCCCATGCAGGCTCCCCACAGCTACTGGACGGCACAACGTAGACCCACTCGTTGCCCTCCAGCTGCTCCGTGATGAGAAGCTCCTGATTGCGTTTCTTGACAATCTCCGTTATGAGTGGCGCTTTATTGACAATAAACGGGTGACTTCGTACATCCTTCGGCGTTGCCCGCTCATTTGTGCTGGTCTTGAGCAGCCACTCCACAAGGGACTTGGCGCTGCTGGAGATGTTGGCCCAGCCTGGCCCCACACAGCGGATCCCCAATCGCACCTCCCTGTACAGCTCCACGAACCGCTTCCCCCGCAGGGGACGCACCCCAGAGAGCAGCATGTAAGCTACAACCCCTAAACTAAACATGTCCGCACGGTGCATGGTGCTACCGGAGGCCTCGAAGAGCCGCAAATGATCCACCACCGCCAGGATGTTCTCCGGCGACGCAAACCCGTATGTTCCACACGGCACAAACAACTGACGCTTCTCATTTGCGATGTACTCCGCAAGCCCAAAATCGATGATCATCACTTTACTAAAGTCACGGGAAACGATTATATTGTCGTGCTTAATGTCGCGGTGAACAATGTGCTTGACGCGGTAAAGGTAGTCTAGCCCCTCGGCTATTTGCGCAACCACATTAGCGGTAAACACCTCTAAGTCGCAGTGGCGTGTACGCACAAACTCCCACGCATGTTTCAGGGCGCCGCCATCACCGGCCTCCATCACAATGACGAGGCAGAGCGGTGTCTGAAACACCTCCAGCAAGCGTGCTACATTCGGGTGGTCAATATCTTTCATGATTTCCAACTCCGTTCTGATTTTACGCCAGGCGGTAATCGTCAAGGTGGAACTCTTCGTAATTACTTTGAGCGCCACACGTGGGTATTCACACCGACGACGGTCCTCGCACTTGTAGACGGTGCCTGTGACGCCCTTCCCAATGCGTGCGCCGTCAAAGAAGGAAGGAAATCGCTCTTGAATGCAGCCGTAGTATTCATAGCCACTAACATGAAACTCTGAAAGAGCCGTGTAGCACGACTGCAAAAAGGCGTTGATGGAGGCGTTGTCAAGAAAGGAGAAAATGAGGTCCGCTATGGCCCCATCCCGTCTACCCGACGCAGGATCGTAGATGCTGCGAAAGATAAACGGCAGACGACACGCGTTGCAGCAGCGCAGCAGTTCTCCGCGGTAGCTGGCAGTGCGGGGGGCACAGTCATTGCAAAAAATTCTTCCGCACCAGCGGCAGTGGTGTTTGCTAAACAGCATGGAGAACTTCTTGCAGCACAGTCTATTCTCGCATGCGTTTGTGGAGCTGTCATCGCGCCAGGTTACGCCAGGGATGACGAGCGCACGCAGCTGGCGCATAATCACCACACGACCACGCCACTCTCGCTAGCCCCACCCGAAAGCAATAAGGCAGCAGGAAACAAATTGGGCTGCAGGATATTTTCTGGCGCGCCGCACGTGTTTTTGGGGCTCTTAGAAGGGCGGCATCATCCCGTACGCACAGAGACGTGCAGGGAAAAAATAAAAGACGGCAGCAAAACAGAGCACCCGAAGGCATTACGATAAAAATGGCAACAACCCAAGACGGGCACGCTCCTTAGCAGGCACACACCACACACTACACACCGTGGCAAGGTGGGGAAAGTACAGGGGAAAACACACAGAAAGCAACAACATAAAAAGGAGCAGCGTCACCGGTGGCCGTTGGCAGAGCCCGCAACCACCACTCACAACAGACACTCCCCTCACGCCGCCAACAAACGAGAAAAGAACAAAGCAACAACAACAAACTAAAAAAAAAAATAGGAACATAACTCAGAGAATAACAACAGCAGCAACATCGGATTGTTACCGCCGCATACATTTGCCTCTCAGGGTGTGCACGTGAGTGCCTGTCGCTACGTACCTCCAGTCGTTGTGGCGGAAAAACGTCGGCTAAGTATCGCTGCGGCAACTGCCACAAAAACAATAAACGCAAGTACTCTGAAAAGCCCCCCAAAAAAAAAGAGGAGAAACGTTTTAAGAATCCCCCCACTACCACCACACAAACATCAGACAATCAATCGTAGCTGTTTCTTGCCTTCATTCTTCGCTCCACAATTCCACGCGGAAACTTATTCGCAATCTCAATGCAGACCTTTTCAACGGCGGTGTGAATGTCATTCACGTGCGGAAAAAGGTGCTGCAGCCAACGTGTGTCTAGCAGGTTGTTGCTGCGAGCCGACAGGAGGATTTTGTTCTGCTCGTCGACTGAAAAATTCTCGTAGGTGTAGGCAGGGTCAACGTGCCTCTTGTAGAGTTCCAGCACCTCGTTATGCGAAATGGCCCCCGGATTTGTCAGATTGATCGTCCCGGTGACTTTGTCCAACGACAGCTGCACAAGAATGGGCAGCATCTCCGGCAGCACCGTCATGCTGTTCGGAATATTCACCACCTTCTCGTAGTTTGCAATTTTGGTGATGAAGTTGTACGGGCTGTTGTCAGCCGAAATGGGCATGCGAATACGTGCATTGAGCGCAGTGGCATTGAAGAGTAAATGCATAAGACGATCTGTGTAGCCCTTCACAGTGCTGTACGCAGACCCAAAGAAGTTTGGGGTGGCGGCCTCATCAAAGCCATCCCCCCCCAGCCTGTGCGCCGCCTCGTCGTAGTAGAAAATGCATCCCGTGCCAAGATACGTGAAATGTATGCTGTGACGTGCACACACCTGTGCGAGCACAACAGGGGACCATAAGTTGTCCCGCATGTTCTCCATGAGTTTGTCTGGCTGTTCAAGGTAGTCTATTGTGAGGTGTCGCCCACCGCGTGTGCGCCCAATGAAACTGACAACACGATCCGGTTGAACTACATGCAGTTCATGCTCGACTGCCGCCACATCATCCGCGCGGGACTCGGCGCCAACAGCCTCAAAACCGGAGTCTTTCAGCAACTTCATAAACGCCTGACCAATCCACCCCTTGTGGCCCCAGACAAGAAAACGCATCCCCGTCTTTATGTCTTCATGTTTCATTTTATAGTGGCCGGCGCTGCTCGTGTCAACGAAAGAAGAAGGATGGGACGGTGACAGTGTGTATGAAAGAACTGCAAGCAGCTGCAGAAAATAAAACAATCAAACAGTCAGCTTGATTCTATCTTTGGCGCTTCTCCAGTCAGTGTCTTCGTTTTACCGTGGTTGTGGCTGACGGTTTCTCTCTCGACCTCTCTCCGCCCCACCGCACTCCCGCGCTCTCTGTAGTTGCGATGTGTTTTTTTCTTTTCTTTTCTCCCTAACCTCGCAGAGCACCAGCAGGAAGGAAGAAGAGAAACAATATCGACGGCGGGGTGAAGGAGCCACAAGAAGGCACGAAGTGCCCTCGCATTGCCCAATGAACCCGGCAGTCACACACCTTCAATTCCCTCACCGCCTTCCACTGCCTGCATGGCGGCGGGATAAAATTTCCCACCCACGCCTACGGCCGTCCGTGCATGCAGTTTCCCCCTGGAGAAAAGCAACCGCAACAACTTTTTTGCCGCTGTTGCTGTCCCCGTCTCTTCCCTTCTCTTTCTTATTACTCTCCCGTTTTTTTCCCCCGTTGTTTGTCAATTTTCGTTTATTCGCTGTATCTCTGTGAATACCAAACACGATACTAATTACAGGGCGTTCCCGCCACGCCAAACGCAGAGGGAAGAAAGGCATACACTCCAAGCAGCATGCGCTGCTGCACAGATGAAAAGAGAAATAAAAACAAAATGGATTCCTGCAGATGCCAGTGCTGCGGTGGCGTCATTGGCTTACAGTTTGCCGATGGCACGGTACCACAGTCGTTTGATGCCCTCTGGTTCATCATCGAGGGCACTGAGAGCAGGATCGTCCGCCAGAGCCTTCCGCACCTCCGGGTCGTACCGTGCGGCGCAGCGCTTCAAGTGTGTCATCGCCTCCTGGCAGCGCGATGCCTCAAACATGTTGACCATCATGCACTGATGCAACCTCTCCGCCTCCTTTGCGCACTCCTTTACCAAATTAAATCTGCTGTAATCGTAGGCCTCGTTCTGTCGTTCCTTCCACCCCTTGATGCAGTTGTAGTAGCCAACACGCTGCTTCTGGCAAGCCCCTTCCGGGTGATCCGGGCTGTAATCAAACTCCTTGAGGCACGACCGCCACAATGTAGCCTCCACTGCGCAGGGTGCAGGATCCGGCACATGTGTCGGCATGCGTGCTTTGCGTGTGTTTAGCCTGTGGGTGTCAACAAAAAAACGCCTATGTTATGCTGCCGACCACGTTCCCCGTACTTCCTCGCCCCCACCCGATAAACGGCGTCCTTCTCCCAAACAAGGCACTGTGGAGGGCCAAAGGAGCACACACACCGAGAAAGCCAAAAAAAAAAGAGCAAAGAAAGATGCCCACCAGGTACGACGAAGTGCATTCGTAATTGGTGGGGAAGGGAAGGGATGAAAAAAAAAAAAAGCGCCGAGTCAAAAAAGTCACTCGCAACCCCACGGGCGCCGTAGGCACAACGCACGCACGCACGCACACAATATATATATATATATATATCGTGGCATGCTACCATTCACAAATAAAAAGAGATGAAACCGTTAGAACAAAAAAAAATAAGCATAATAAGCATAATAACAGTAATACTATTCATAAACTAAAATAATGCCGTACTAATGCAGGCAGGCAACATCCGATAAGCCACAGACTGAACGATACTCTTGTGGTGTGCGACATCGCTTTACCCTTATTGGTACGCCTCCAAAACTTGGCTGCTCGTTAGCAAGGGAAGATCAGAGGGGTAGTTAATAATATCAAACAACTTGCACAAGGTGTACACCCAGTACTCGTGTTCATCCTCGGAATCGGCACGGAGCAGCAACTTGTACTCAATTTCCTTTTCTGTATATATAATGCATACTTCACGCCCTGGCTGCGTCGCCTCCTTGTGTGTACGCAACGATGGCCGTGTAACAATACGGGTATCATCTGTATTCAAAAGCAAGAACGCCACGGGTTTGCGGCATAACTCGTCCCTAAAGTAATTCAGACTCACCATCGTGTTGAAGGGTGCAAGAACAAAGTACCGACGGCGCCAATTGTTTCGACCAAAGTAACTCCGTCCAATGGAGAACTTGTGCATCCATCCTTTACAGCCATTCGGCACACCACCGGCGACAACAGAGGTGGAGATGACTAACACCTCCCTCTCCTCCTTCTTGCTAAGACGGCTGCAACTCCCACGAGGCTCCAACATTGAGTCGTGCGGACTTAAACTGGGGAGCTGTGGCATTGTGAATTCACTGGGATTTTCCACTGAAGTAGATGGTAACGATACGAGTGCCTCCATACTCGGCAACGGTTTGTTTGTCTCCGTCTGACGGTGCGGCAGAGTGGGTTGGAATGACAATACCTGTCCGTTTTTCTTCTTCTCAGCGGCGGCTGTAACGTTCCCGAATGATGGCACCTGCGATGGGAGCTGTGTGGTATCAGCCGATCTAGGCGTAGGTTCCGCAGACAACTGCTCATCCTTGATGGCTGCGGGAGCAAACGATGCCGTCTCTTTTATTACCTTCTCTATGGCCGCCGTCGCATCCGCCGGAAGCTGTTTCCCATGCTGAAAGTAGCCTACGACAGTGCTGCCGTCCGGCATCGTGAGAACACCCTTCCCATGTGGCTGATTATTCAGAAAGAAGCCGCAGTACGTCCTCTCGTCCTGCGAGTGATACGTAATGGAGCCGGCGCCGTGAAGATTCCCCTGAACAAAATCACCGATGTAGTGATCACCGTTCTCAAAAACCATTTCACCCGTTCCGTGGGGCTTGTCATTCATCCAGTCACCGTTGTACACACGTTTGCCGCCTTCAAAGGTCATTTTTCCTCGCACCTTTTTGCCGTTTTCCCAGGTCCCCTCAAAAACACGCTTCCCCCCGGCGTACCACCCCTTCCCCTCCCCTGTCATGGCGCCATCTTTAAATTCGCCCTCGTAGTACTCACCATTTTTCTGCGTCAGCCGCCCAATGCCGTGACGAACGCCGTGCCTGTACTCCCCCTCGTAGAGGCGACCATCCGAAAAGGTGTAGGACCCCATTTTCCCATGCGGTTTCCCCTTAAAAAAGGGCCCCTTGTAGGAGTCACCGTTGCACCACACGATACTGCCAATGCCGTGCCGCTCATCCATGTTCCATGCACCATCGTACAGCCTGACCCCCGTCGGGTGTTTTTCCACCTTGGAGCAGAAGACGCCCTGCCCATGGCGCATGTTCCAAGAGAAACTCCCCGTGTACACATCCAGCGCTGTCGTCAAAACACCTTCTCCGTGCATGGAGTCATCGACGACCCCACCTGTGTAGGTGCAGTTATCAGGAAGTTGCGCGTCCTCCACATATTTACTCGGTAAATTCAATGGCCCCTTAAAATCGTTCACCTGGATGTCGCTCATAAATGCTTCCACAGAACGTCACGGCTACTGCCGGATTCCCGTCCCGCTGCCTCCGTTTTCCTCCCGCAATAACAACAAAAAAAAAGAAAAAACAAAGCAAACAAGTAGCCACAAAACACAAATAATGTTCTCCTTCTCCTTTGCAATATCGTGTCTTGCCTTTGGAAACAAATTAGCGCTGCCGCTCTCCTCGTATCGAGTTCACTGTATAACCATCTAACGTCGTTTAAATGGGGACAGAGCAGTGGGGAAAGACAAACAAAAGACGAAAATAAAGGACGATACACAGATAAATATATTCATATGAAAAATGACAAACACACACATATATATATATTCGTAGAGTAAGCATTGCATTTGCAATGCATGTTTGCAGGCCATGCATGGCGTTCAACGTAACGCACAGCATCCGCATCACTTGTTTCAGATATATATTTTTTAGCCTCGATCTGAAGACGAAATGCGGTACTATAAGGTCAAAACATAAAAAAAAAAGAAGCGCACCAGATGTCGAACGGAGAAACGGTAGAAGCATAACTGAAGAGAACAATCCGAACAACAACAAAAGCAAATCAACCAACTACAAGTATATATATTATGTAAATGCAGCCCAGAGTCACAGCGCATACCGTATGTATATATATATATATATACGCTCCTAGATGTGTACAAGTCCAGAAGCACACGCACACACGCACACACACACACAGAGAGACATATACAAATGTGGATATACACGTGCAGTAGAAGAACGACAAAATAGTAATGGTAATAACAACTACCGCCTAGAAGAGGTGTAGCAAAAGCGTCATGCACGCCCCCACCGCCGCCAGAAGCAGCACACGTAAAGTAGGATGACCAACCAAACAGCATCAATCTCTGAAAAAGCATTTATAGCAAATCTGAAGGTTTATCAAATTGACTCTCCAGCTTTGGCTGATGTTTGGCCCTTTTCTTCTTCCTGACACCCTGCGATGCTGCTTTATTGCTAACAGACGGGGCGTATGGTCGCCTCGGAGCCGAGCTTGCACGCGTGCGGCCAGTTACAGAGTCAAACTGCATCGCCTTAAGCCGAAGCACCGCAGCTCCTTCCATATCTGGTGAAAAGGGGTAGTGAATGCCAAGTCTATCCGCCATTGCCATGTATTCAACAAGTTTATTCTTCGTCTGTACGAGCTCCCTTGCAAGGTTCTGCAGCTCCAACTGCAGTCGCTGCACCTTCGCGTCGGGGTTACCCGTTACTGTATTCACTGCATTCGTAGTTTCACCCAGTTCCGAGTGCAGTCTGCTGCTCCCCGTCACGAGTCGATGTGAATCCGTGTCTTTCTGGGCATCAGCTGAGTGACTCCGTAACTGCGATTCCAGGAATTGAATCTGCTCATACAGCTCTGTAGTCCGAGAGTCAACGTCTTTGGTTGCAAGTTCCAGATCATCACGGGCGTCTACTAATTCCTGCGTGAGAGTAGCGACATTCTCCTTGTGTCGTGCATTCTCAGCCCGCAGCACTAAGACCTCCTGCTCAAGTTTCTCTATTGTATCTCGTCGTTGCTGGAGCTGTGCTTGTTGCTGCTGCTTCACCGCCCCATCAGCGGCAGCCAGCACCAATACGTCTGTCCCCTGTAGTTCTTCGACGTGGGCCATGGTTGAAAGGCATTTCTTGGCCACCTTCTTCCTCCTCTTCCTTGACTGTCCAGAGGCTAAACTAAGCGGATCGTCGCTGTCCTGCGCCTTGCGATGGAGCTCACTCTCCAATTGCTGCACTCGCTCAAGTAGCGCTGCAGCCTCGGTGTCTGCCTTGTCAAGCGCCTTGACAAACGTCTCCGCCGCCTCTGTGTTGTACCGCTTCTGCTCCTCCAGCTGACGCTGAGCCTGTATGAGCGACATCTGCAGCTGCTCCGCCCGAGCGTATTGAGCGGCTGCGTCTGCGGATGGCGTTGCCGCATCTATGCTACAAAAACCACTGCGGTCACTGGCGCAGCTCTCTTTAGTCACAGCAGCGGCAGCAGCATGACTATTGCTACTCACATCCTCACCATTGTCATGGCAATTAGCCTTTATATTCGTACTAGGGCCATCACTCTTTGTGGCCTCTCGCAGCCTCCAAAAATCTAACTCTATAGCTCTCTTCTCCGCATGCAGACGTCGAATCTCTTCACAAAGCCTCTCAAGCTCCACCTCCATATCCTGCTGTTGGCGCAGTTTGTGTGCCGCCCCAGCCGACACCTCGGCCTCCAGCTTCTCATGCTTCTCTTTATAATCCACAACCGCACTCCTTGCCCTGTTCAGCTCCTCCCGCTGTACTTCCATCTCTTGGTTTATCGCGGCAACTGTTTCCAGAAGTTTTTCCTCCTGCCGGCACTTGTCCTCAAAGGCCCGACGGTGTTTCTGCGCCGCCGTCTCCATTTCCTTTTGATGCAACAGCAATCGTTCCTCGCTCTGCTGCAAATTACCCACCCGACTTCGAAGTTCCTCCAGTTCCTCATTAAGCCCGGCAATTTTCTTCGCTTCCGCCGCCAGTCGCTCGGCGGTGGCGCCACGCTCCTTTTGGTGTGTCGCCTGCAAAGACTCAATCTGCCGCACGTGCTCCTCATTCTCCGTCTCCAGGTCATCGATGGTTTGACGGTAAATGAGAATCTCAGACTTTAGCTTGTCAAGGTCAAAGGTCTTCTGCCTCAACTCCTCGCTGACCCGCCCCTTCTCCGCCAAGGTCGTCTTATGAATGGCTTCCGGAACAAAGTTGTCTTGTGTAGCACGCACCGTCGCCAGCGTTGCGTTTGCCGCGTCGAGTTTGCGCTGCAGCTGAGCATTCTCCTCCTTGTATGTGGCCTCCGCCGCCACCTGGGCGCGCGTACGCTCCTGCTCCAACTTCACTGCCATCTCCTTGATGCCATCCTGCATGTTCGTCATCTGCGCCTCCAGCGTCTCATTCACGTCCCGTAGGCGTGCATTTTCACCGCTGAGTTGATTTACCTTTTCACGCATTTTGGCATCGTTCGCCTGCAGTGCCGCTGCCTGCTCCTCGTGTGATTTGATCGTGTTCTGCTGCCGTGTCAGCACCGCGTGGAGGCTCTCGTTTTCTTCCTTGATGCGCCCCAACTCCCTTCGTGCCTCCTCCAATTGCTTCTTAATCGGCTCCAACGTGTTTGACAGCTTTGAGTTCTGTGACTGCAGCTCGGCGTATTGGCTCACGTTTATCGTGCGACTCTGCGCCAGCTCCATGTACGCAATGGTCTCCTTCGCCTTGACGAGCTCATTCTCCAGTACCTCCACGTTTGAAAGACGATCCTGCAGGGCATCATTCTTTTGCCTCAGCTCCGCCAAATTTTGGTGCAGCTTCACCGTCTCCTCGCTCTCGCGCCGCAACTTTTTAAGCTCCAGCTGTGCGGCCTCCTTCTCCTCGACGAGTGCGTCTTTCGCGGTAACGCTGCTGTTGAGGTCACTCGTTAGCGTCACACAGCGCTTCAAGAGAAAGTTAATGCGTTGCTTGTCCTCCTGAGAGGCACGTGTGAGCCGGATGAGTTCCTCCTCCTTCGCCGCAGCAACCGCGCGGAGCTGCTTCACCTCTTCAATGAGTTGATTGCGCTGAAACTCCACGCGTTCAACGCGCGCCTTATTGCGCTCTAGCGTGCTAAGGATCTCTAAGTCGTCCAGCGTGGATTCACCCCTGTCGCCGCTTCTGGACGCGGCGCTTGCGCGTTGCTCTCTTTCCTGCTCGAGGAGCTCCTCCAGTTGCTTCGCCCGCGAGGCAGTGAACTCGAGCTCCTGCGAAAGTTGTTTGTTCCGCGCCTCCGCCGCCGTCAGCGTGTCACGCGCGACGCTGTGGTATAATTTCTGTTCAAGTCCCGCCTTCTCTCGTTGCAGCTCGTCCACCTCCAGCTCGTTCGCCTGCCTCAGCTCCGACAACCGCACCTCCAGTTGCTGCACCTCCCGCGTGACCGTCTGCAGGCGACCATTCAAGACGTCGCATTCCTGCTGCAGCTTGCTGCATCTATCGCACGGTAGCTCCTGCGGCGGTGTCCGCTCCTCAGTGGCGGGTGCACGTGGCCGGTTCTCTGCTTCATTCAGTCGTTGCAACAGCATATTGTTCTCGTTCACCTTAAGCTTATGCAGTTGCTCTTCCGTTGTCAGGGCCTTCTGCAGCTGCGCCACTTCCGTCTTCAGCCGCGCGATTTCATCATTCATGTACTGCAGTTCCACCTCATTGGTGTGGCTGCCCTCCTGGCGTAAAGACTGCAGGTCCCGCTGCAGTCGGGTGTTTTCTACTGTTTTTATCTGCAACTCCTCTCGTGTGCTGCGGAGCTCCTGCCGAAGCTCCTGCTCACGCTCCGAGCGACGCTCCAACTCAAGCCGTAAGTCGTTCAGCAAAACCCGCTCCGCCTCCGTCTGACTAGGGAGAATGCGAACGGCGACGCTCAACGGCCCGCGGCTGATCACATCCTGCTGCTCATGCACAATGGCCGAGAGTCTCTGCGCATTCATGTGTGCATTCTGCAGTTCGCCAATGAGCGCCTGTACCTCATCATTGGAGGAGGCGTGACTCGCCTGGTACTCAACAAACTCGTTTTGCAGTTCCTGCATCAGCTGCTCCAAACCCTCGCGTGCCGCAGCCTTCGAGCCACCAAACCAGCCCGTCTTCTCTGGCTCAAAGAGGGAGTGCAACACGGATGTCCCCGCAAAAGGACTGGTGGATAACTCTGTGCATTTCTCCTCTTGCTGACTGACGTGCCTTGCCAGCCTCGCGTTATCGTCACACACCTTCGTAAGAGCGTTGGCAAGGGAAGCATTTTCACTCTCCAGTTGTCGTAGCCGCTTCATCAGCGCGTTGCCCTCCTCCAGGGAATGCACCACCTGCGTCGCGCCTGAAGACAACACGGCGGAGGCGGTACTGGTGTTCTTAAGGGGATTCAAGCCTGACGCACACGGCAACTCCGCGGGTTGATCGTGTGGGGTTTGGCTCTCCGCGGCGGTGCTGCCGTTGTTGGCATCGTCCGGGTCCACTGGGCTCCTCGCTCGTGCGAGACCCACCACCTTTTTGGGCATCGTTTCTGAGTAACTTGGCCTCTGCATACTCCGTTATATACGCGTGTTCGCCTGCGGCCAAAGACACACGCCGTGAAACGGCCTCCCGCTACCCTTCTCCGCCACTACTTCGCAAACTGGTACGCGTACGTGTGTCTGAGCCGCTGGGCCCAAGCTGCTATTTATTCACCCTCGTGTCTTCGCGTTCTTCTGCTATGAACCAGCTGGCACGGGTGACAAAAATCCAAACACCCAACCTCAGTGGCAAGAAAAAATACAGCGGAGTCAAAGCACAACGAAGAAGAGGAAAACAGCCAACTAAACCAACCAAAAGAAAAAAAGAATTAGAAAGAAACCGGTTGACACGATTATATCACCGCAAGAATGCACCCACCAAAACACAGAGACAGCGACATACAAACAGACAAAGATAAAAAGAGGGCAGGGGGAAAGCGTGCAGGCCTGTATCGATAGTTCATCGCGCATTGGTGCATACGAGTAATGACGAGGGTAACAAGGGTGATGTGTACATCACTCGCTACGCGTTAATATTTCTTCCAATACTTATCTATTACCATTATTTTGCCTTTTGATTGCCTGCCGCCTGTCCCTCTATACAAATCACCCATGTGTTTCCAACTCAAGAAGAAGAAGTGTTACAGCCGGCTCGTGACCACTTCCTCAATGCTTCTTTCCACACTCCTCCCGCTCCTTGGCGTCCAGCACGGCAAGGTGGTACATGCCATCCAGCAACTGCTGCACATTCACCACCTGCTTCATCGCGTTCAGGGCGCCCATCACAATCAACAGTGGAAGCGTGATCGTCTGCACCCACGTCACCTCGCGATACATCCAGTACGCGTACAGGAGAATGTACGAAAACTCCTGCCCAACGCAAAAGGCCCCCATCACATTGCGGTTTGAGTAATACAGCCTCAGCAAGTAAAATGTGCTTTCCGAGACGTCCTTGTGCGACTCTTTACGCAGAAAGAGGCTAACGTACATGCGACAGAAGTGTGACGCCACATCCAGAAAGACAAGAAAGGCACACAACGTCGTAAAGCAATCGGGCATGGGCTGCACCACGTGGTTCAACACCAGAAGGAGGCCGGCGGTGGAGGCGCGGTCTGTCAGCATGTCGAAAATGGCCCCAAAGTTTGAGCACTGATCCATGTATCGCGCCACTATCCCGTCCGCTGCGTCCAGCACAAAGGAGAGCGTGTAAAACGTGAGGAAGAGGCCAGGGTAGTTGCCCAAGATGACGAAGGAACCGAGGGACAAAAAGACGCGCACGTAGCCTATGACGTTGGGGTAAAACCAGTAGATCTGCGTGGGGCTAACGCGTCTGGGGTTTCCGTCAGGTGTCATGGCGAAGTGTTGCACGATTCAGCGGGTGTGAGCGCAACCAAACAACGTATACGCACCGTGATCTGAAGTTAGTGGGATGTATTCTCTGCGCGTTTCAGACAGATCCACTTACCGTGAGGCGTGAAGCCACTAAAAGAGAAAGAGAGGGCAGCGCAAAAAGAAAAATTAAAAAAAAATACAAACACAAAGACCTCAGCAGCGGCAAAGAAACCTGCACCATCATCATCATCACCATTGTCACAACACGGCTGCCTGTAGAGTGCGGCGTGTCAAATGACAGGTAAGGCATACGTGAAGACTGCCACCAGTTTCATCTTCGTGGGCCTTCTTCGTGGCGAATCTCCTCCCGCATCTGGTCGACACTAAAGGGGCAGGCGCGGTACTTAAGTACGGGGTAGCGGAAGTAAACATTCTCCTGTGCCACGTGCCGTTTTGCCAGGCAGCTGTCGCACAGCTCAGCGCTGGCGTCCGTGAAGTGGTCCAATGTGAGGTGCAGACCGCAGAGGACGCACAGACGCTTGCAGTCCACGCAGACAATAGACTGCGACAAAGTGGTGGCCTTGTTGAAGTGCGCCGCGGGCAGCAGGCGACGGCAGGTGCCACACCGCAAACGCAGGTTCTTCTTGGAGACAAAAAGTGCGCCACGCCGCGAGAGTCGCAGTGTGAGGGTCCGCCACATCCCTTTTGTGTGTGTGTCGCCTTGGGGAAGGGGGCGGCGCACCAACCGGCGATGTGAAAAGAGAGAAGAAGAAGCAAAGTGCGGGGGCCACGCAGTGAAATTCAAATGAGACGCACAGGCGAAGCCACAAAGTACACACCACCGCCACCGCCATCATTACTTCGTTCTCTCCCTCCCTCTCTGTCCTCGTAGTCTCCTCTCAGTTTTCCGTCTCGCGCCCCAGACGAGAGGAAAGAAGGAGAAACAAAAATAAAAACCTCAAAAAACTTTCATGTTAACGCGCAGGATAATCACTTGGTCCGCCAGCTTCTTTTCCACCCGCTGCTGCACCTCCGCCACGAAGGCCGCCGCGTCGATGACAACGTCAGTCCATGACATGCCCTTCCGGTTCAACTCTCCACTCCTCAGTAACTCCTCCGCGAAGCCAAGCCTCAGAGGCAACGCCGCACGCAACACAATGGTCTGCCGATATTTTTCCTTTAACACTTCCCGTGTCACTGCCTCCAGTGTCTGCTTGCATACCAGGAGAGTTCCCTTCTGGTACTCATTGCACATTATGACTGGGCGAAGGCGGGAGCGATAAAGCACCCGAACTGTCGCCGACTTCCCCATACCCGTCACCCCTTCCGAAGTCGTTACGGACCGCTGCCTGCGTTTCATGGCGAAACGGTACGGGTCCAAGTCCGCCCCCAAATCCACCACCACTGTGGAATCCGTGAATTATAAATAGAACCGCACCTTATACAGCAGCCAGTTGGCACAAATGCGTTTCGTCACGATTGAGGACCCCTCCCCAATTCAACTTGCTTCTCCTTCTTCGTTGCATCCTCATTCGCGACGTCGTCGCCGACAGTCACCACGCGGCGATTACCAGCCCACCGGTTCTGCAGCACCGCATAGTCAAAGTAATGAAAACGCGTCTTGGAGTACGGCTCCGGGTCTGTCGTCAGATCATAGCTGCGCGTTGTCAGGTAGCACGCAACACACAGCACCGTCGTAGCGCCGAGCAGCCCGTGGATACTCAGCGTTGCCTTTAGCCAACCAAGCGCCGCGCCTGGGCCAGGCACGCGAAATCCTTCCACAAAATCGTGTCCCTTCACCCCGTACGTATCAGTCCGAAGGTCGCTGCATGCGGCACGGCGGCCTTGCTGTAGGAGGTGGAGGCAACACTGCTACGCCGGCTGCAAGACAACATTGACGAGGCCGCACGCCGCACCACAGCAGCCTCCCTGCCGCCTGCTCACATCGAGTCTGGGATGTCTCCGCTGAAGCAAAAAAAAAAAAGAAAAAAAACATGCACAACAGAACACGTGGTCATGACAATACAACCGACGGGAAAGGGGGAGGGAAGAGAAAAAGAGCAGCTACGTCGGGGTACAGAAAGGGAGCCAAAAGGCACATGGTCCACGGCCGCCGTCGAACCAAAGGAACTGAAAGGACAACAGCAACAGCAGCAATCAGCGACGTCACAAAGTGCAGAGGGAATACCACCGCTTTACAACAAAAAAGCTAAGAAACAGAAAAAAAACGTGGGTGTGTGTGGGTGTGTGGGGGGGACTCACAAGCCCGAAAAGAATAAATTTTCAACTTCCTCGAGAGTGCTTCCGCCACTGGCCGATATCTTCCGCTTTGGCCACCATCGCTTTTACACTTTCTTCCACATCTTCGCGTTCGCCCAACACTCCAGGGAGGTCAGCTGCGGCGCTAGTCGCTGTGGCGGTATCAGGGGTGTCCGCATGCCCGGTGGACAGAGCCATCGTCTTGGCAAGCTTTTTCGCGCGCAGGCTCTCCAGTAGCCTCTGCGAAGCACCCAGGTGCGTGGAGATATCCTCTAGTTTTTGCTCAGCCTCAACAAGAGCGTGGCTGGTAAGCGTCCCGAGGGCCTTGAGCTGCCTCACGCAGAGATTCAACCGCCTCGTCTCGTCGCTCTCCATGCTCTGCGCAATCTCAATCTCGGGCGCCAGTTCTGAACGGATGGCGGCTAGTCGTTTTTCACGTCGCTCCCGTGCGGACTTCAATTCCTCCGCAGTACGCGAACCGCCTCTTGCGGCACCGCTCCCGTCTGCAATGGCCAGCTGCTGTGCCACCCCCGCTGGAGGTGACTCGGTGGCCACCCACAAAAACAGTTTGCTCGTCAGATCACCAAAGGCTGTGCCGTTAAACGTGATGGCGGTGCTGATGCTGTTCATGCTTCTAAACACGACGATGAGCCGCTCGCCCGTGACATCCCAGCCCTCGATGGCGCCACATTTTGTCACAAGTAATCGCAAAAGATCCTCCCGCACCGTCGACGGGCAGCCTTCAATGTAGACCGTACGGTGCAGCTTCCCCACCAGATCTAGTGGCATGCGCTATAGCTATTCGATCTTGTGTGTGTGTGTGTGTTTTCTCCTTCCTTTTGTTTTCCGCCACCGTCATTCTAAACAGTCACGAGGAAGAAAAAATTTAAAGCAATGCACGAAATAAGCAGCTCAAAAAAAAAAAGAGGCTAAGCACCAAGCAAAACAAAAACAAAAATAGATGGGACAAGTTGAAAATGTGCACAAACAAAAACCGCACCGTATTGATTTACCTCTTTTGTACGTGTGTGTTCCGTTGTTGATGTTTTCCTCCGTTCTTCTCCGGGTAAACTTATGGTTCTCCCCCTGAGTCTCTCTAAAATGTGAAGACCCCGCACACCAGTAAGCATCTCTCCCGGCCCGCAATCTATTTAGAAGATTTCTAACCCATTCACATATCTAAGGGCATGTACAACTGCCCAGGGCAAGGCCGTTGCTAAACAATGAAGCTACGACGATGGTGATGGAGCCTCCAATGGGAAGGGAAGGTGTGTGAACACACACACATATGTGCATCTATTTATTTATATATTTATTTATTTATTTATTTTATAAATAAATAAAAAAAACCACAAAGTCTAGGGGAGGCGAGGAAGTCGTACAGCGCCCCATCCCTGCCTCGCGCCCTCGTGAAGAGAAACTTTAAAAAAGAGGAACCATAATGGGAAAGCACACACACACACACACTGAGAGAGAAAGAGAAGGAAGGAGAAAGAGAAAAAGCCAACACTATCATAACTAACAACAACAAGCGACAATCGTCTGCGGCCATGGCAAGGAGAAAAGAAATGATGTCTGCCTTCCCGCCTACACCTCCTCGACGGAAGCGACGGTGCTTGCTGACGCGGCTGTGAGTTGAGATAGGGGCACAGGGCTATCGTCAAAGCGCAGCTGCAGAGCGCAGTCTCGCTCCACATCCTCTTTCCCATGCTCGATGTCTTCCCTGACAACATTTGGGTATACAAGCAGCGGTGAGAGGGATGGAGTCGGTCCAAACTGTGTTGTAACCAAGCCGCTTCTATCGCATGTGCTGTTCTGGTTACGGGGGTGGCTAAGACTTGCCCCTTGGCTTGAGGTCGCCACATCGTCGCTACTGCTCTTTGACACTGCTCCATTGCCAACATTTCTCACTAACGTCGCCCATTCTGTGTGCGGGGTGGGGGAGACGCTGGGTGTGCACACGTCGTGCATGCTCGGCATGCGCTCCGTGGAATGAGAAGAGCTAACCGTGACAAAACTAGCACCCGAAAGGGACTGGCTGCAATGGGCCGTCGTAGCCCACTTGCAAGCAGCACCATTGCCACTGTTGGTGATACTTGGACTACCACCGCTCCCACTACTTCTATCGCTTACTTGCAGCGGCAGTTGGGTCTGCGACTGTCGCCTTCGCTCACCCGCTGTGGTGTCCGCCGCCTCCGCCGCCTCCGCTGTGGTGGTCGTCGTGTGCGTCGGCTGAAAGAGTTGCATCAGCTGTGCATCCCACGGCTCAGGCGTGGCTACGCACGAAAGGCTCACGGCGCTTGGAAGCTCTGTCTCCACACTACTTTCGCCCAGACCACAACTAATGCCCTGCATGAAGGGATGTTGCAGGGCCTCCTGGCAGGAAAGTCGGTTTGCTTCATCCACACAAAGGAGAGACTTCATAAAGTCGCATGCCTCCGTTGAAAGGTGTGCGGGAAAGCGCACATCCCCTTTTGAGATACGGGCACACACCTCCCACGTGGAGAGGTGTTCAAACGGCAGACAACCGCACAGAACGCGGTAGGTCAAGATTCCAAGAGCCCACACATCCGCCTTCGTGCTGCAACCCCGCTTTAAGACCTGCTCTGGTGCAAGGTAATCCACCGTGCCGCAAAGTGTGTAGCGGCGGGAGTGCTGCGAAACCCCACCGTCAAGACGCACCGCCCATGAAAAATCTGCCAGTTTCACCTCGTCGCCTTTGATTAAAATGTTATCCGGCTTCACGTCGCGGTGGATAATGTCCCGCTGATGCAGAAAGTCGAGCGCTGAAAGCAGAGGCCGCAGAATACCTCGTGTCTCCTCCTCCGACAGGCGATGCCGCGTCCGTGAGTCCAGTAGGGTCTGCAGGTTCCCCCCGTCCGCGTACTCCAACACCAAAAAGACCCGCAGCTCATCCCAAAAGTACGCAAAAAGGCGCAAGATATGACAATGATGACGTCCTGCGTACTCCTGCAGCTCCACCTCCCGCCTTAGCTGGTGGGCGAGATCGTGGTAGCGGATCATGTCCTTTGAAAGGCACTTTAGCACGACAGCGCACTTCGTTCGCTTCTCCCTTGCGAGGTAAATCTTGCCAAAGCGTCCCTCACCCAACTTTCGCCCCACGTCAAAGTCGTCCAAAGACCACATGGGCCGCTGCACCACCACCCTGCGGCCCTTGGGGGAGCCTGAACTGCACACCGACACAGCATCCTTCACAACGGCAGCGGCGGCAGTCGACGTCATGAGGCGCGGCGACGCACGGGAAGTATCACCCATCCTCCTGCTACAGTCCCACTCGTACATCCAAGAGCCACCAACGCCGAAGGGCGTCTCGTGTTGGGCCGCCATGGCAGCGCTGCGGATGCAACAATACAAAGCGGTCAAAAAGAAATAAACTGAAATGAAACTATTGCCGTCCCCGTCCCCCTCCCAACCCAAAGCCTACGCAACGTTACTTCCTGTGCTGTGGGCGGAAGCCAACAAACAACACAAGTAATTGCCATCACAGCAGAGCAGCATCAGGAACGGCAAACAACCCCATAAAGAACGACAGAGAAACAAACAAATAAAATAAAAAAAAAAACAAATGGAGAAAAGACAAAAGAGGCAGCTACGCATCCACCCGTACGTTCCTCCAGCAAAGGGAAGAAAAGCTTCTCAATGAGGCGCACGCAGGAAAAGAGAAGAGAAACCCCAAAAAACAAAAACAAAAAAGCAAGGTGCCACCACATCCGCGCGGAGAACTCGTTTTGCGGATGTTTCACCTGACGCCCCAAGAAAGCAACGGAGGGCCCCACATGCCGCATGGCGGGCTGTACAACCAAATTCTCGAAAATATGTAGTTAAACCTCCCGCAAGGCAAAAACTGTCGACGTGGCGTCAGGTGCGTCTTTGCATCGCCGCCACAACCATCTCCACTGCGGCACCCGCCTCGGCGCAAAAGACGAAGTGCAGCTTCACACGGCGGCAGCAACCTCAGGGGCATCTTTCCCACTGGGACAATTTACATCGCAACCTCCTAATGTGATTCGCCCGGGCCGGTCTGGAGGCAGCAAATCGAGACGCCATTTTTGCTCATCATATCAGTGTAAAAGACGTCAAATACCAAGCTGGCCCAGCCACTTTTCATCAGCTGATACGTCCCCTGCGAGCGAAGGTCAGCCCGCGGCGAGTAGGGAGTGATGCGGGGGTGACTGTGGCGCCAAGAAATTACGCGACTTTGACGTCCCACCCTTTATGTGCAGCGCTCCACCTCATCAGTGGCGCTGGCAAACACCGTCAGAACACTTTAAACGCGGTCAGAGCGAGGCACACTGCGACGCAATATTTACGCCTCCCACACATTGGCGCACTTATGTGAATGTGGCTTTGCGGTGTCAAAATACGCAGCAGCAGCTGCTTCCTAAATTCGGATGCACTGTGGCGGCGGTCGCCGTTGCGCACGTCATCACTGTCCCTGTGAGAATGGCAGTTGCGGCCCCACTGCTGCGGTGCAGCATCAAACCCCCAAGCTGCAACCTCATCACTTATTCCTGCTCCGTCGTGAAGGCGTGCGACAGGCACGCCTGTACCACCGTATCAGTCACATAAACCTTTTCAGGAGGTGTCTTTGACCCCATTGTGTTGTCTTTTGGGGAATCAGCAACCGCTAAGAATACACCACTCTGCTAATGAGCATTGTAAATATTCCCATTGGCCACACACACACACACGCACGGGCCCCGCCTAATGACCACACTAACTACGTGTGTGTATGTAGATATGATAAATCGACACAAATACACAGACTTCCATGGAGTCATACGTGTGAAACAGGCAAGGTAGAAAAAAAATTCATGTGAATAAGTAAAAGACAGTGAGAAAGACAAGGACAAAAAAAAAAGGTGGAAAATATAAAAAAATATAAGAGAAAATAAAGGAAAGGGCGTATATTCATGCGTGCATGTATGCGTGTCATGCCATTTATTCCGTTAAAAGAAGCGTAAGAGGAGAGAGGGACGACATGGCGGCAACCCGGAGAGTCAAGAAGGGAGGAGGAGAGAGGAGAGAGGAGGCCAAAGAGCAACCATCACCACTCTGCCATCAACCACAAAAGGACGAAGCACATGACTGCTATAAAAAGAGAAATAAAATACACTTAAATCAAAGAAAAAAAAAACGGTACAAGGCGTGGCCCTGGCACACCATACTTCCAGGGGAACTGATAGACCGCATGTGTTGAGCAAATCACACAGAAAAAAAAAAAAAAAGTATGGCGGAAGAATGTTACAATCACATCTTTCCCGCTCTCACCCGCGTGTACCGGTTTGGTTCTTCCCTCATCTACTTCACCCGTTGTTCGCAGTGGAACTCGTTCATAAGCACAAATGAATGCTTGAGAGTTAAGTCATATGTTTCTAATCGCCCTCCTGCCTTTATTCCTCTCTACTTTTCTACCTTCCTCCCTCCTTGCTCTCTTTCTCTCTTTCTCTCCCTCTCTTGTTGATCGTGTCATTGCCGTCCCTCCACTACTGTGCGGAATAGCGTCACCACCGCATGCTGCGGTAACTCGCTGATAAGTTCCCAGGCCTGAGGATCCTCTTGAATAAGCGCGGTAAAATTACTTGCCACGTAACTAATGGCCCGCTCATGCAGCTCTGGAACCTGGTGCTTCACAGCATATATAAGCAGGCGAAGGGCATTTTGGTAGTTGAAGGCTTCATCAGCCTCCTTCTTGAGGTGCCCGTCCATGCCAAAGACGCTGTGCATCTTGAAAACGATGGCCACGTCCTCTGCGGAGAAGTCGCGGTAGTACTCGAGGTGATGACGGTAGATTCCGGTGAGCAGCTTCTGCCAAGAGCGCTGGGAAAAGTCAAACTCCGATGCTGTGAAGGGCGGTACCGCCACGGAGGATCGCGGATTTATGGCCTGCGAGAAGAGGATACAGCGAGAAGCCAAAATGTAGCGGTGCGCCTTAACAATCAAGTGCTTCGGCCCCACCACGAGCTCCATGTCGCTGTACTCCCCCGATTCCGCCAACCACCCCAGCTGCCTACCAAGGGTGTTCTTCGACGGCGGGATTGTCACCTGCGGCACCGGCTCCTTGTCGCGCATAATAAGAGAGAGGCGCCTGAACAGGTGACCGGGAATCTCCTCAAACTTCGGGTCCTGAATGAGAAAATCGTAGTTTTCCAAAAGAACTCGAAGATACAAGGCGTTGAGAACATCATCCCCCGCATTGTACCGCGTCAGTGCAATGGAAAGTATATTTTCATGCGATAGGAGTGGCCTCACAAAGGTCAAGCAGACGCCAGATAAGTCGTAGAACTCACATGCATAAGATAGTAAATACAAATCGAGTAACGCCTCAGGCGGTAAAACCCCTTGCTGGGGATACTCCTCTGTGTACACGTACTGTAAGAAGGCAGAAAAAACGTCTACCGAGACTGCGATAGCCACAACGCAGCCAGGCTGCAGCGGCAACACATGCTCCGGTAACAGTGGACGCATGCGAGCAGCGATAACGCACCGATGCGCCTTCACGCGGACGCCTTGAATGTCAAACGTCATATCCGTCACCGCCTCAAGGTGCTCAAAGGGGTACAAAAGTGGTGCCCGAGCAGCTGCCTGCCCAGCAGCCACACTGGGGCTTTTCTCTGGCGCAACAATCAAGCGTCCTCTAAGAGACGCGGAACGCGTAGCACCGGTGCCTCTATTATACTCAGTCGGTGAGCGCATGCGCAAAATTGCATGCTTTGGGTCTCGATACGACGTGGAATGCACAGGAGGCGAGCTGGAGCGTCCACGCTGCATGCTTGTGTCAAGACCGCCAACGCCATAGTTGTTATTTCCGGCTTCCACTATCTTCAGCAGGACATCAATGTCAAAGTAAAGTGCACCGGAGGCTGCGTCCTCGTAGGCAAATCCATTCTCTCGCTGCAGGAGACGCCAAATCGGAATGAACTCATTCATCCCCCACGCGCTTCCAGACTTCTTGAAGGGACAGCGAAAGGTGTGAGCTTTCGAGGACGGCGGATCCTCGCAGCACCGCAGGATCAATTTGAATTGTGCCACCACAGGTACGTTCGTGCAGCTTTGAAGATGAATGGAGAGAAATCCCTCGTTACTCGCCGCCGCCGCGCGCCGTTGCAGGTGTATACGCCATGCGTGATCCCCAAGGGCAAACTGTGGACTGTAGTGGGAGGCGTTTGACTGCATATTCCGCACCACCTTCAGTGGGCAGTGGTAGCGGAACCGTGCGCCGTTCTCGGAAACCACCTCTATAGTCTCGATGAACTCCATCACTGCAGCAGCCAGAGAGACGCCAGCAGTTTCCAACAATATCAATTTATAAAGCCCGTCTTGTATTTTTCGTTGTTGATTACTTACTATTCCGTCTTTCCGTCCACGACCTTCCCCTCACCTCGCCTCTCTACTGGCCGATGGGTATAACAGACACCTACCTGCACGACGGAGCAGCGAACCTGCAGCAGCCCCTCTCGACGGCCTCTTCACGCCGAAGGACGAAAGTATCGCCGGGATGGTCAAGAAAAACAAAGAGGTACACCACCCATGCGGCGCAAAGAGCGAATAAGAGCACACAAACACACAAACACACACACACAAGCACACAAACACACAAAACAAAAAAAAAGGAAACGCGGCGCAAAGGTACAACACAAAAAGAAAGTGAGTGCGTCCCCCCTGCAGCCACACGCCCCTCTACCCGCATACAGCACATATACGCACACTCTCTCTTTCACTTTTCCTCGAAGGTAGCATCAGGTTCAGAGAACGGACTGCTGCCAACGCCCACTAAAGGTGTTTCTCCCTGTTTCATGTATTTGTCCGTATGGGTTGTGGGGGTCTATGAGAGAGGGGGAGAGCATGCGCGTGGGTGCAGAGTCGTCCTTCTTTTTGGCACCACCTGCATAAAACCTTCTTCGTTTTTTACGACTGGACCATCTTGGCGGTTTTGCCCTCCATTAGCAGACGCAACTCCGCCTCTACCATGGATCGTAACCTCTCCACGCGTCTCATCAGTTGTGTGTAGACAACGCCCTTCGCCTCGGCATCTACCCAGTCAGAAACCTCACGTAAGCGATCAGCGTATTCGCGGTGCCCGGGATACTTGAAGTCACCAACAAGTGTCTGAGTGAGCAGAGAGAGCCGCATAAGCAGCGCCTCACGCAGCGCCTCCTCGTGTGGCGCAACGGAATCCATACGCTCCGTAAAGTTGGATATGTGAAGGGCAATAATGCGAGGTGACGCCAAATCCCGCAGCAGCGCCACACTTCGCGCATAGATGGCCTGCATCAGCGGCTCCGACTGCATCTCCGCATGGCTTGCGATATCGCCTGCCTCAATGAGTGTGCGCTGAAGGCGGGGCTCAAATGCGTCCACCCACCACCTGCAGCCTGCCTCGACGCCGGAGTCGGCATGCTCCTTCTTAAGAGCATGCTGCATCGTGTCGTACACGGCAATGGCAAGTTCCATCCAGGCGCGGTTCACCACCACAAGCGCCTCACGAACGGCCCGGTTTGACACAAGGTGAGTGCTGCGCTCCAGGAGGACGAGGAAGTTCGTGTCCATCACCGCCGCATTTGACATAAATGAGGCAGAAAACTCTTGAATCTCCTCCAGGTTCTTCAGAGTGCACAAAGTCTCCTGCTGCTCGACACACCACGATAGGAGCCTTTCCTGATCTCTAAACAGCTCCGCGGTGCTCTCCCGCAAGAGCGATTGTTGGTGGCGCTCATGGTTCAACAGAGCAGTGACCCGTGGCTGCATCTTACTCACCTGCTCCAGTTGGGTGTACAGAGGCTGAGTGGCAAGTGCAGGGACTTCAGCGTGCTTGGCCTCGTCCAAGGAAGCGAGTGCACGGTGTACGGCGCTTTCAAACGAGACCCAAGAGTCTACCGCATCTGTAAAGTTCGCCACATGCACTGCCGTGGTGACGCACGACAGCACATGGGTAAGTTGTTCTCGCCGCAATGCAAGCTCACCGTAGACTGCGGCCCATCGTCTTGCACGTCTGTCCTTTAAGATCTTCTGTGCATCCTCCGCGTCCCCGTCCTCGTCAAACTGCCGCAGTTTTATAAGCAACTCCTCACGGCGTCGCAGCGCCAACTGTCGCCGTTCACTTGCAGCCGCACGGCGCTCCTCCTTTGACTGCAACATAAGTCGCTCAAGCAGCCTTCGCTGCTTAGGCAGCGCTCGCATCTCCGCGTGGGCAAGCTGCATGTACATCTTTATCGCGTCACTACCTGTGGCATTGGTAGCTGCCAACGCGCGGCAGAGATCTCCCGTCTCTTTCTTCGCAACCTCCTTGAAGCTGTACCGCATCAGCACGCCCGGCGTCGTTGGCTACTTTTATGTATGAACTCCGCGCCGCCCCAAGAGAAGAAGCCGGTGAAAGAAGGTCAAAAAATAAAAAATAAATAAAAATATAAAGAGAAAGAAGGAGCCAAAAAGAGCTATGGCCTCCGCTGCTGCTGCAGGCGTGAGCCACACTACAAAGGCGTAGTAATACCAATTAGGTAATAGCTGGGCGGTGAACTCAACGAGGCGGCGGCACACAAAAACAAAACCTACCAAAAAGAAAAAAAACAGGTCCCGTTCATTTGGTCTCGGCCGCGCACCGACACCGCCCATATCCCAAATGACGCGCAAAAACATGCTGTGGTGTTTGTTTGTTTGTTTTTTTCCCCCATCATCATCATCACATTGTCAACGTTTCTTTTACTTTGTTCGCCTCCACCTTTTCCTCGCTCGCTGTGAGCACGTCCCAGCGGCGCCGTATGTACCCCCTTCAGGCGTTTTCCGCCGCACCCTTGCTGGGCACACACAGAAAGAGAGGTGGGTACAAAAAGCAGTGAGGGTGCACGACGTTTATGAAGCGGTGGTGGCGTCGCGATTCACCCAGAAAAGATCGTACCAACTTGAGTACTTCTCATTATCCTGGTAAATGTACTGCATGGCGGTGCGCATCGACGGCTGCACAGTCTCACCGTGGTACAGGAAGAGTGGCATAACGATCATCCACAGCACCCCCGAGTAAAAGCGGAAGGCTTTTGGTGGGATCTTCCAGCCGTACTTGCCAGCAAGAATAAAGAGAGTCGCACTCAGGATACGGGACAAAATGTACATGCTCATCTGCACCGTTACTGGGTTCTGCTCACCCCAAAAGACGGAGCCAACAAGAAACCCGGCCAGCGCACTGTGCCACATGTGCGAGTCACCCTGCAGCTTACGGAGAATCGACCGTACCAGCGAGAAGGTTAGGCCCGTCAACCCTAGGGCAATACTGTGCTTCTTTGTCGCCTCGTAGATCCTACGCGCCTTCACGCGCCATGGAGCGTGGCTCCATACAGCATTCAGCACAAGCGCATGTGGCGCGCGAATACGAACGCCATAGACAAAGCCGTTTCGAAACCCCTTAATGGCGTCCAGCAACACCTTATATTTCCCTGAGCGAATCATATCATCGATGAGAAGGGCTGCCTCCTTTGGTAGGGCTGTGGGCCTCAAAGCCGGCGCATCGGCTCCGGCAGAAGGCATCCACACGCTCACGGAACACGTTGCCCACACACTGTGAGTTCAGAAAGCCGCCAGCTGCGAGGCACACACATCACACACCAAGAAGAAGGAAAAAAGGAAAAGAAAAAAAAATAATAATTTTTTTTTAAAAGCGCGGTCATGAAACACCTCGGCAGAACCAACAGCAAAGACACATATGTAAACACTTTACACACACACACACGCACCAAACACAACCAGAAACTTTAAGAAGTTGCTGAAAAAAAAAAAAACACCGTTCATATGAGGCGCTCCAACTCCGCGCAGCAGCCCCCCTCTTCTGCCGCAACATCCCTCAGAGCTGTATGGAATCTTTTCTTGAAGCCGCTGATGCAGGTGCCGCGTTGCTCGCCTTCCAAACGGCATCGGCGCAGCATCGCGGGCACCGCGGAACCATCTTCGACGGACGCACGTCTCCAAGCAAGCTGGTTTTGTATCCACAGTGTTCACACTCAATGAAGCGTCGCGTGGTCTCTTTAGTCTCCAAGGTGTGCTGCAACATCTTGCAGCGTTCATTGCGGCGCAGATACCAACGTTCGCACTGCTGACAGTAAATTCCCTTCACAGTTTGCTCCGTCACCTCCGCAAGGGCGTCAAGAGCTTTGTCCTGCAGGATACGTCGCTCCATTCGGTGCTCAAACTTTCGCCGTTCATCTGCGACGCGAAGGTCATCATTCACGCTGCCCATGACGCCCGCAACAGCGCTGAGCAGCGATGTAGAGATGGGTGGAGCTGCATCCTGCGAATGTGGCGTCACTTCCTCTTTTTCTGTTTGGACGAGTGAGGCCCCTGCTTTTGCGAGAGTGCCATCACTGCGGAGACGCCGCTCCACAGCAGAAACAATGGAACTTGTTTTTCCATTGGCTCGTCTCGTAACAACGCGGTGCTGATAGTCCTGATGGCGGAGACGCACCTCTTCAAAGGCACTGCATCGCATTGAGGCAAAAGAATACGGAGTGCGATCTCCCGGCAGAGGTGCGTACTGCTCACGAACCGCCTCCACATCTTGTGCCACCGTCTCCTTTGCGTTCATCACTGCGGCGGTGCTGCCACTGCGGGAACGTTTGGTGCCCAACTCGTTCGGCTTAATCGCTAGCTGAAGTAGTCGTTGGCGTTCCTTGGCGTCTTCCTGATCCACCGCTGCGGCAAGAACGGTTCGTCCGCGCGACGTGACGCCAAGCGACTGTGGGGAGCTGAACACGCGCCCCACATCCCGACACATCCCGGTGACGGATAACGCGCTGCCCGACACAACGCCCGCGTAGGCCCCTGCAGCGGAGGTGACGTCAGATCCAGCCGGCGTTGTTGTTGGTAGCCCACAGGAGCCCTTCACCGTTAAAAACCCTGGCTGTTGTCGCACCAACGATTGCAGAGCAACCTTAGACGCAACAGCACCCGTTGGGCTCCCTGACACAAGATTTACACGTGTGGCACCAGATGCAAACGTCGTCGAGGGTCGCGTGACCCTCGCTGGCAGCTGTAGGTTTGGGGCTGTCGCCGACGCTGCATTGCCACAGGCGGCACGCCGGAGATTCGAGACGTGGTTTGAACAAAACTTCGAAAGCGCGCCGTTCACAATCCGATTGCAGCGTTCCCCTGAGTGATGCTGAATTGCTTGGCAAGTCGCGAGATCCGCTGCGTAGCCGAGGGCACGCACCTGCTCACTGTTTGTCACCTTCACTAGGCCTGAGGGGTTATTCCCAACACCACCAGCGTTCGTCCTGGGCGTAGCACTGGCACTCAACGCGGCAGTTCCAGTTTGCGTGTTGCTGGCGGCCGCATCGTTGCGACGGTCCATCAGCTGTACACCTGAGAGCGCAAGCACAATCCCTGTTGCAATCTTCGTGTAGTGCACGTCAAACGCCGACCCACCAAGCAGGACGGACAACTCCTCCCGCGGAGTTGGGAAGGGTCCTCGCAGGCTCCACAGCGTGACTATGCCGTAGGTGTTTTTGCCATTTTTTTGCCTTGGATCCGTCTTTCGGATGACGACGCCTATGACAGTCAGCGATGGAGGTGCACCCACAGCAGCGAGGCGACGGTGCAGCTCTATAAAAGTGGCATAGGGGTATTGCACAAGAACTAGTGACAGCTGCTCGCAGCTCTTCGTAGGGTGCTTAACGGTAATCCCGCTACTAGGCTCCTGCATCGCAGCCGCACGCGCTCGATCCGCCGAGGACCGCTGCTTAACAATCTCCGCCGTGTCAACACCTTCGCGGGGAGACGCAGAAACGACATGCATGATGGTCGATGAGGCACTTGGGGCAGCTCTGCCTAACGCCTCGGCAACGGAAACACCGCGGCCGCCCCACAAGGACGGACCTGACACGGCCGGCGCCGCCTCACGGGCAACGTTGTGGCCGCCGGAAGTCAAGGGAGAGAGAGCTTCAGGTGGCGTCAATGCCACCACCGCCGGCTCGGGCGTGTTGAACACGGCGAAGGGATCTTCCTCCTCCTCTTCATCGACGCCAGCGCCCGTTTCATGCCGCGTCCCCCCCATCCTCCTCTGTCCCTGTCTTTTTTTTCCCCCCCTTTGCGCTGTTTCACTACCCCCCCAAGCCCCACCCCCCAAACGACCCCCAGCGTTTTTTCACACAGCGCTGGAGCGACCACAAAAAAGTAAAGGGGCACACACACAAAGAGAGAAGGAAAGAAAGCGAGGCAGCGGCCACATTGTTCAGTGTTGACCCAAGTAGGAAAACAATGATGCAGAGGCGCAGGCACAAGATGCAACAAAAGCACAAGAAAAAAAGTCTAGCAACAGTAAAGAAAGTAAAAAAGCAGCACAAAGACAAACAGCACACAATAATAATATTGATAAAAAATAATAATAATACGCAAAGAAACATCGAGAAGAGGTTAACATCCCTATCGCAAGCAAAAAAAAAAAAAAGGGAATGACGCACCGTAGATAAGTGATAATTTTACTTCTTCGCCTCCCTCCTCTAGTCTTTTTTTTTTCCTTGCACATTGTTGTCTCTTCTCGCACAAGATGCCGCCTCGCACCCCGCCGACTGACATTCAGCTGTGCATGGATGCCTACATACATATATTTGATTATTGCCAAGGAAGAAAAGGCAAGTTTATGTACATCGTGCGTCACAGCAACATGCGACCACATGAAAGAGAAAAAGCATTGCAGCACGCACTATAAGAAGCAGAAAAACAGAATAAAAGAAAAAACTGTACATTTCACAGACAAAAAAAAAAGTATAAGAACAAAAGGCAAAGCA